GTTGAATTTTCTAAGCCCTTTATACGATACGAGCCTCTCACGTATGGATCCCACGAGATCAATGGTTTTGATCCCTTGATCCATTGGATGCGAGCTCGTGCAATTACTTTTCATAGTTGGAAACCGCGTTAAAATGGCATGACTCAAAAAGTTTGTGGCTTGATAATAACTTTTCTTTGGTGAATGCAACGTTAAATGTTATCTAAGGGGCACTTGTTAAGTAGTTGATTAGAAAAACTTTAAGATTTTCACAGCGTTTGAACCATTTGATAACGACAATCTTAGAAAATGTTTACTTAGGTTGTCAGCAGTTTCTAAGTTAATCAAAACAAGTGTGACGTTTGGCATCCCAACAAATTTTTCTCGTGGGTAGACCATCAAAAAATACATAAGCGCTTCATCCATGGGAAAAATTGACATTTAAAAGATTTTGCAAAATCACCTTATTACGGAATATATTAATTATTAATTAAATAAATTATTGACATGATATGAAGAAATGGCACACATACATTTAAATTTTCTCATTGGTAAAATTGTTTATAAGATAGAAAATACTCAAATTTAATTGAAGCAATGTGAGAGATAAAATATGACCATTGATTTATGCATTAGACTATTGATAGAATATTTATAAAAGAAGACTAATAGAGAATACTTTGATGCTAAAAAAGGATTGCAATACCTTAAATGTATGGCTTCATCTTTTCTTTAATATTACTTTCTTGAAAATTTCTCATGTCAACGTGATTGTTGTTTTTTTCAAAGGAGACGTTTCTTTCTTGTCAAGAGAGAAAGTTGTTTTCTCCCAATTTAAACTTATTGTTTTTAGTCCATGGGAAAAATTTTCCGTAGATCAATCACTTTTACATCATCCAAACACCGAAAAGTCGGAAAACAATTTTTCGAAAACAATTTTCCTTTAAATAAACGGGCCCTAAATTCAAAAGGCGGACTTAGTCCTGTGCAAAATGGTCAAGAATACCACTTAATCGTGATTGATGGAAACAGATACCTACACATAATACAAAAATTGCGGAAAAACTTGCCCATTCTACGCTTGAATCACCGATCGTTCGAAGTATATTACGTGAAATGAACATACCTCTTTTACCACAGATTAAATGCACTTATCACAGCCTCGAGAGAGAGAACAATCCTTGAATTGTTGAACAAAGCCCCTTCTTCTTTGTCCTTTAGTGAGAATGAGTTTTCTGATGATGAAAATGCAACCCACACACACTCTTACGTGTGTTCTCACTTTTGTTTCTAGACAATAACTGCCAAGTGCAGTTACTTTCTTTCATGGGCTGGGTTAGCCCATCATGGGCGGCCCATCTTCACAAAGAAAATCCATCAGTGATTAAAATGAGAAACAGGTAAATTATCTTATCCCTTTCATTAAAAAGATTCAGATAACATCAGCAGTGCAGAGAAGATCTCACTTTCTCTGTCGGTTGTTGGATAATGTTTATACGTGTTTGGGATAAAAATGGATGATCAGATAGAGGTCCATCTGTAAAGCGCAAGGCATCAACTACATTCTTCATGGGTACTGAGAAAAGCAACAATCACACTATGGAGATAATCTCTCGCAAAGAGGATGGTGATCAATTGTTAAGTATTAAATCACATCTCCATCTAAACCCTTAAACTTTTAGAACAATCGACGGTGATTTCACGAAATCATCGTGGTATCAGGGCAAGAGGTCCGCCTCCCTCATTAGCTTACATGTGAAGGGGAATGTTAGAAAGGCCTTCATCTAATAGTTTTTCTAACGGTTTTTAAAACAGTCAAGCAATGATTCCACAAAAAAAAGCTCCTTACTTTCTCCGTCTTCATATGAATTCACAATGATGCCGACAAGACAAGAGCTTTTTCATCGAGCTGCTTCTGCATTGTTCTTTTGATCACTTCGTCTTAGGTATGAAATTGTTGCGGGACGCGTAATCATCAGCTCCGGATGTTGACTAGGAAGACAGAACGTTTTGGAGGGTGCCCACGCACACACTGCGCTCCTTCATTTTCTTCCGTTTCATGAATATGAATGCCTCGCACAGTAGTTCGGCAGCAATTCGTGTCCAGACGGACACATGTGCCGCCTGCAATCTGTGTGCGCTTTACTCGTTCTTTCTCTTCGCCTTTTCTCAATAGATTACCAGTCAAATGTTCTGGTGAGATACCTGTGTCAATCGTTGTTACGCCCGCATCAGCATCGACGCAATTCGTTTGGTTTTTCCGCGAGTTTGGTACCCGTGTGGGATAAGAAATGAGCAAATTGCTTGATACAGTAAGAGTTATTTCTAACATCAAGACGTAAACATACGACGGATATTTATAGGGTGTTGAATATTTCGCGCTTGCTTTACTGTCTACCTATGATCGGTTGGGTCGCCTCATTAGTATAAGAGACTGACTACAAAGAAGTCCCGATCGATGATGGTGACGGAACGTTAAATTGACTTGCTGGATAAGTAAATACTTTAGCCAAAAGTCGCTTACCAAACACTATGAGTTGCTTAAAGAATAATAAAATCTTAGATGGCTTGAAAGAGATGCACTAGGGTTTCTGTGAGAAGGTATTACAGAATGAGAAAGTTTGAGAGCCCGGGATGGGGGGAGAGTATCTTAAGCATCGGCTACACGGCCATAGCAGTGATGAAGTGGTCTAATCGATCGGTCACCACTGTCCGAGTGTTAAGAATCCCGTGCTAATCGGCGCGGCATGTGCTTGTCTTTGAGGTTTCAATGGGTCTTCTGTTTATGTAATATCCTTACGCTCGTCGGTTTAAGTCTTTTTTTCTTATTGAATTAACGATACGGTATCAAAGCCAGGTTCCACACCGCATAACAGGTGCCGTTCTCAAGTCTCGTTTGCATGCGAGGTGACAAATATAAGTAGGGTTAATACCACGAAAAATCCTAAATTGGTACATATGTGACAAATTTATCCCAAACTAATTTTTTAACCACAAAAAATTCCAAACCGATACATTTGTAACAAATTTACCCCAAACTAATTTTTTGATAACAAAAAATCACAAACTGGTACACTTGTGACAAATTTACCTTCAATTAAATTGTATTAATATCACGAAAAGCCACAAATTGGTAAATTTGTGACAACAGAGGGGTAAAACTCTAAACTGGTACATCTGCCAACTACCACGTGTCGTCCAACTCAGCAATTTGATGGTAAAATTTAACGGAAACTAACGAAAGGTAAATTTATCACAGATATATCAGTTTGATGTTTTTTTTGGGTAAATTTATCATATGTGTATTAGTTTCGAATTTTTCGTGGGATTAACCCCTTTAAGTATCCCGCGTAGTTTTTAGAGTTTCGACAAGACTTACATTCATACGGTCTATCTTCACCTATTAGATTTGAATTTTTGGATTGAACATCCATCCAAATACGTGCTATACATCTCGCTTTTGATTGACTCTCCACGTGGCGCGTAATTGCCTATTCACGGCGTGGGAGAGACATTTCCCGAGGAAAAAGATTATAGTTTTCTAAAGTGTGCCATTTCCTAATTCGATGAAAGGGAAAACGGAAAAAAGAAATCAAAGATGGCGATTGATGCATGGCCGAGTGACGTGATGCGAGCGTCACCCGTGACGTTAGGAGAGCACGGACAGAGCCGATGTAGGCCGTAGCTGAACTTGGGCACGCTTTAATTTTGGGGAATTTGCAATGTCAGCGTCGGTGCACGGCATTGGTGATCGGACGAGGAAGTCTTTGTGAAACCCGACCAAACATAGTGTGCTCGCAAAAGGTTTTCGAGAAGCCTCAAAGATCAAGATATCGACGTTCGAAACATCCACTTCAAGGTCCTCTCACCCCTTTCTCCAAATTGACAAAAACAAGGCAACGAGTGAAAGGGAACGTCCGGGCTCTCATTAATGTGGGTAGAGAAGACGGTACAATAGTCGTTCGGGGTAAAATTGGGGGAAATTTTCTCCTCATGAAAGCGAACCTGTAAATCTCCATTGACAATTTATTGAGTTGCTATCGCTTCGTTGAAATATATAAGAGATTGTTACGGAAGTTCTAGAAACAAAATTTTCTTTTAACGTGTAGGATATGTCTTCCACGTCATTCAAAAGAACGTGTTGAACGGAGAGATGAATATTCGTTTTTCTAGATAACATAAAGTACGGTGAACATTATAGGGCCTTGAGGACAGCACCATGTACTATCGTTTTGATATTCAACTATTACTATAGTAATTACCTTAATGATGTATTTGTTTCGCGGAAAATGAATAATTTGGAAAATATTTTCTCAAAAACGATCGCTTATATCGCCAGTAAAAATTAATGAACAAAAAACATTATCATCGTCTATGAAAGTGTTTATCAGTGATGAAGATATTTTTCATTGACTAATGTTTTTTAGTGATACAAGTGATCTTTTTTAGGAAAATGTTTTCCAAATCATTCATTTTTCCTCGAAACAAACGGAGCCTAAACTTGAGATTACATTAAGGATCACCAATGTTCGGATGATGCAGAAATTTTTAGACCCGAGGCTTGTGATGAGGCGGACCATTTGTGGGAGCCTTCAACAATTCGACCAAGCCCTCCCAGTTGAAAAAAAAAGTAGAAAATCCTGAAATGTGAAGCTTGGGGCTTGGCAGAGCCCACTGATTTCAAGCATTGATCAAAATCATCAGGAAAGAAGCTAGTGCGATTACAGTATTTAGGGAAGAAAGCCAATAGGCCCAATACAGGTAGGCTTTATTTGGTGGGCCGGATATATCTCCAAATAGGATAGCTTTGATCCTGTGCGATGTTTGGGATCATTGCGAAATTCAGACACGTCTTAATATTTTTTTCTTTTTATCGAAAGATACGTCTTAATATAATCAGGATTAAAAAATCCCACCTTAAGAGTGAGATGCTCTCGTATATCTGCTATCTGGTAAATCAAGCGGAGAGAATGGCAGCCATAGCTCACTTCGCACGACCACCGTGACCCTAATTACACGACTTGAGAGGATAGCCACTTGATTCGGGTGTCCACATTATATCCGGACATTTACAAAATAATACATAGGACATTACAAAGCATATCGTATCCTTATTCGACTTTATCCTATCCGGTATAAAGGTCTAACGTCCAAAGGCAACCCTATTTCTTTATATATTGTGTCATGTGCTCGAATTAATGAAATAATCTCCAACGGTGCGAAGTGCACATCTAAAAGAACAAACTGATGAATTAGCATAAGTTAGAGCTTACTTACCGACGTCAGCATATTACTTCTATTTAGAAAAGATTGATTACTCCTAAAGTTTCTAGGGTGGTTTGTCATCAGCCAACTTTCAAGGAGTATGTACAATTTGATCATTACGATAAACTAGAGCTCCGCCTCCATTTTAACCTGCGCGATCTCCGGGCTTTCATGTTCTGTCAAACTCCGATCTTCTGTTATCTTTCTGATGTTGGCCTGGACGATACTTCCTCCGTTATAGCCCTCAATCAGCAACTTCCCTATCTTCGCTCTCCATTCGGAAATGTCCATCTCATTCCTTTGGTCATGATAGACTCTGTCGCAATAGTTAAGCATCGTGCCCAAGCCAGTATTTGGTAGCCAACCGTATTCCATCAAGACCTGTGCTTCACCTTCAGTCAAGTCTTCCCCAACCTTTAAAATGGACACAGAGATCCAAGAATTTTCAGTCAAAGCTAGTCGAGAACGGTTGCATGCAACTATACAACCACATTGTTCCAATCCACCAGTGACTTAAATTATATGCCCTCATTTGATCAAAAGTCTATATGTATTAACAGTTGGAAGAAGTTAGTCGAGAGTTAGCCAGACATGCAAGCTATAATAATGAAAATCAAGACCAAACGACCTGAGGACTGCAAAACTGCACATGATCATTTTCTGAATTATAAAAAAAAATAGCTCAATTTGGCAAAACAAAGTGATATTACCGATAGCGCTTTGTTCTCAATTAGGGTCACCCTGCTACAGCTAGTTAGCTTCATGGCAATCACCAACCGCTTAATCTGCCAGTCAATAGGCAGTGAATCCACCAGCTCAAAGAAATATGTGGCATACCCATATTCCGGACGTTCCAGGACTATTCTGAAATTGAGTGGAAAATAGAATGTATGACTGTGAGGCAGAATACCACCATACACAAAGGTTCAAAGCATGATTAAGGTTGCCATAATTACCTATTATGCCTTTCAAAGACAAATATAAATGATTGAAGGTCCCGGCACCAACCCCATTCGGCCGGCCACTTCCGGAAACGCAGATATCGTGTCTGAGAGAGAGAGAGAGAGTGGCATCAAACAATATGACAAACATGTATTTGGTAGATATTAACTATCAGCATTATTGTAGAGTGGCAAGGATTATGAAAGTCATTACCTGCTCCACCAGAGAGAGAAGGCAAGCCAGGCAATAACTAATTTTTGCATCCTTTGAGCCACGTATGGGTGCAAATTTCAAGAAAGATTGGCGTTGAGAGAAAAGCTGTTCCAGCAGGAAATTAAGCATCATTGCAGTTCAACTTCATAGAAAGATATTAAATTTTGGCAACAATATGTAATCCTCTGATATCAATACCCAAAACATGCTACATCCTCAAATATAATATGTCATGCAATTAATCAATCAAAACAACATCAATAGAAGTACTAAATTTAGAAAATACATTTGTGGGAGAGAAGAAAAATGGATTATCAGACATTGCATCGTTTGACATGAGGTGCTACTCCACAACAAAAGAATAAACACCTTTCATTTTTGTGCAAGTCCCTGATAGAGGACCGTCATTGCATGGGTGCAAGGATTTAGTGGGAGCAGCATTCACATCAATCATCACAGAGCAAGTTAGAGAGAAATTATAAACTTCAGGAACATGTTTGTAACTATACATGAGACACTGCTAACTATCATCTATTGAAAAAGAGGAAAAAAAAGGTACATCGCGACTAACCGGAATCAAAATCCTGCTGAAGCAGCATACATAAAAAGAGGTTTACTTCTGCTATGTCAACTTTCAACCATGCAGTCCGACCAAAAGAAAAAATAAAACTATCAACCCTGCAGGCTTTTAAGAGAACTGAGATGATCTCAGCTTCACATAATCACATCAAAAAATGACATTATTAAAGTAGGAGAACAAGCTACCTCATTCAGCTTTCTAACATCTTCAAGGTCCCAATCAGTTGTTGAATTAGCATGATCTTCATCTAGGATTTTTTTATGGGAGAAATTTTTTTTTTTTTGGCTATACTAAAATGATACAAAGATGGGAAAACTAATAATGTACAGCTCAAAATACACAATATGCCTAACCCCAAACACTATTATCAAATGAGCCAAGTGAAAAATACACTAAGCCGATAATAAGAGAAATGACCACAAATGTCAATAACATCACGGCAATTATACAAGAAGAACAACAAAAGAAAATACTGGTAAAAAAGAAATTCCTGGATATAACAATTTTGCCGACCTTCGATATTACATCTTCAAGCTCTGCAAAGCCATCATTGCTGGAAGATTCATCCACAAGTTCATTGCTCTCTGCCTCCCCATAAAGCTTCATTTCATCAACTGTAACCCCTTTGTCAAGTAAAACCTACCAAAAAATAATTCAGAAAGATCTTTTATTTTGTTGGTACAAAAAAATTAAATAAAAGGAAGTGTCTTTAAAATACCTTCAGAAGTCCTGGTGCATCTTCTTCCAAGGCAGTTTCAATTGAATCACTGCACCAGGGAAAAAGATCACTATAATGGGCTGGAAGCTTATAAAATAATTTCTTCCTTCAGCTTAGTCATTTTTCCTACTAGTCTCTTTTCTTCTCTATTGAAAACAGATTTGTGATGATTTATTTAACAATTATGGATATTTATGTATACGTATGGATGCCTGTATGAATGTATGTATTAATGCAAGCACCTACGTGGCAGTCTTTTTTCTTTTCCGCAGACGCTTAGGGACAGTCAGCTTAACAGATTCTGGAACTGGATGACTGCTCTCACGTACAGAAGGGATGAGTTCGGGGTAACAACTGTATGTCTTACTACCATCAGCCACAGAGTCCATGTGTGATGTCAGTAGTTCCAAACGATCTCGTAGCAGCATATGATCCACCTTGTCTGATGAAAGATCATCAGAGTCTTGTGCTTCACTCTTTACCGATAGCGTCTTCAAGTTTAAGTGATCCTTAGAAGTATTGTTACTCTTGGGCATGGCATGAAGATCTGAAGGTTCAATCTTAACTTTGGCAGATTGTTTCAAAGCTGCAGCAGGCTTTGCTATCATCATTGAACATAAACCAGGATCCTGTCCATTACACAAATTTAACTTGGGCAATTTTCCCTTGGATACAGTCGTGTCTACACATTTTTTAAGTTCCACAAAATCTCTTGATTTACTTGACAGAGCACTCTCAAATACAATAGGCAATGAAGAAACTTGATTAGCTCCAAAACAACATTGTGAAACAGAAGTATCAGATGCATCTGTCACCGTACTTCCACGTATATCAGAATCACCTCGTTCCAACATGTCACGCGAGTCAAATCCATTAGACACTAGCAAAGACTGGACATCATCCCTCGTAGTTCCATCACTATTCTTTACAAAGTCATCTCCTGAAATACCCTATCCAATAAAAAAAGTAGATGTTTAGTGTTATTAAAACATAAACTTGAATACACTATGGCCAGTTTCCTAACTGCTTGACCGGCAAATGCAATTTCCTAACTTTACATCATGGCAGATACTATACACAATTGCTCGTTTCTCTTCTACAATGTGCTTTCTTTAGCCAACCCCACAAACTGGTATAAGCATTAATTGTTATTTTCATTGTTGTATGGCCATTTATCAAGTGTAATAGTAGCAGACCTTCTAAGCCCTTCCACTTCCATAATAAAAAATTATTATTGACTCCACATTCTTAGAAATCTGAGGCAAAGACGAGTCTGTTTACCTGCACTTCTCTACTACTTCTAACTTCTACTTATGACTATCCCTTCATAAATTGACATAAACAATATAATTTAAAGTTTCAAAATTTTCGAAAAACTATAAATGATTCTACATGTTAATATTGGAAAAATCGAAAGGTTAACATGTTCAGCGCAAATAAAAGTCAAAGTGTGGCTTTCACAAAATTCACAAAAAGCCAAAAGTTACAAGTACAAGTCAATCCAAAATATCAACTAATATCATATATGTTAAGGTTACAAGAAAAATATCCCAAAACCATCATAGCTAATTACTACATAACTCAGACATTATATGAAGTCCCACTGAAATAGAGTATGTTAGAGAAGTTTGTTAAAAGCCAAGAACATCATGTTTCTCGAGAGGGCAAAGAAGTCCCGAACAGACTCTAGATCATTTCAACTATTTCAAAACACTGGAATTGTTGAACAAAACCCAAAGTGACAAAACAAAACCACAGAGATTGAGACAAATTTATTTACCGAAGGATGAAGTTGTTCCTCTTCCTTAACAATTGCAACATCGTGATGGGACCTGCGCATAACAACAGAAGCCAACATTTCCTTTTTCCTTTTTCTTGACAAATAGAATATAGGAGGCATCTTTTCAAACAAAATAAAGAAGGAAATAACACTCACATGCATTCGCTGTCATTTACTTTAGATATTGATAATTTAGTGTTATCAGCACTTGGAAACTCCTTGCCTGCTAACAACATTTTTCTTCGTAGTAGCAGCGGAACATGTTCAAGTTCATGTGACCACCCATCATCTTGAATTTCGCCATTCCTTTTGTTCAATGTCAATTCTGAATCTAACAAGTGGGACACGTTGACAGTTGAAATTTGCCGGTTGAGCAAGTCATTGTCATCAGAAGGTTCAATTTTAACTTTATTTGAGGTTAAAATGTTTGAAACTACCAGATCATGTGTGGCTCCGGGAACATTATTCTGCATATTAGACCGGTTTTCCCCCAAAGGCAATGGCATAGGTGAGCACATGAAATCAGCTTTTTCTCGATTTGGATATTTTGCAGTTTCACCATCCATACAATTATCAGGAAATCCAAACCATTCACTTTCTCTGGAAGGGAAAACTGCAGTAGTATCGCCTGAGGTATGACCTAGAAGTATTGGTGTGGCATCGCGTGATGTATCAAATCCAATAGTTCCACATTCATCCTGTACATTCTTTTCGAGAACATCCACCAACTGATTTCCACCCCCCGGGGATTTTCCATCAACAGAACATTTCCGTAATATCTCTGACTCAGAACAACACTTAATGCCTGCAAAAACTCCTCCACTATCAACCTGTGACGCCAATTGAAGAGCAACAGAGAAAATGCAAAGAAAAGACAAAATCAGTGCATGCATGATCAACGCAAATAGCTTAACAACACATTATAGAAACCCAAAAGGAATCAGCACGAATTATCTAAGCTTGGATAAGTCAAAAAAAGGGAAGTTAGAGATTGAATCCGACTCTTGAAGGAACGTATCGATCAGAAAAATTGAAATAGCATTGAAACAATGCATCCAAGATACAAATAACCAGTACAAACACCATCATTTTTTTCTCAAATACAGAATTTCCATCTCGGAAGAACATCAACTATTACGCAATCGTCCCGAATCATATTCGAAGACATTCTTCAAGGAACAGATACTCAATAGCGATCTCAGCAGGCCACAAATTTCCTTTCTTATGGATAAGTTGAGTTCGTAATCCACATTTTTCAAAAACAAGAAGTCAATTCTCAGGTAAAGCAAACTCAAATAGAAGACACGATACAACTGGGGCATCCACGAGCTCAGCAAGATTCACTGTCAGTCACAAATCAATGAGGTACCTGCGTATTGCAGCTCTCGTCTTCCTTCTTAGCAACAACACCGTCTCCGACAGCCCTGCACAGCAAAATCACCCAGTAAAAAGAAAAAAAAAACCCTTTATGAACCCTAAAATGGTCAACTTCTACGCAGCTAATGAGAGCACCCGAACAAAACACAATCGCCAAAAGGGAAAAACAAAACAAAAACAAAACTTGCGAACTCACACAGCCGGCTTTTCCGCTCCTCCCTCGGGGGCGACGCAATTCGGAGGAGGGCCGCCGCTCGCGGCAGGCCTCGACTTCTTCATCAGCCAACTCCTCCTCCGCTCGAGCGGCACATGGTCGAGCTCGCCCGACCAAACAGAGCCGCCGCCGCCGCCGCCGGCGGCGGATTCGAGCCGCGCCACCTTTGCTCCCGCGGATGTCTCGGCGTCGCTCCTCCTCATGCGCCCGCGCGATCAGATTGCACCGAAAACGGGAAGAGGAACATCGTCGCCGTGAAAAGGGACCGGAGGGAGTTCCGATCGGAGATCGGGAGGAGGTGGAGGAGACGGAGGAGCAGGGATCCGAGTTTCCGGGGCTGTTCGCTGGCTCGCTTCTTCCGTTTGGCGCGAGAAATATTGGAGTTTTTCGAAGCTCTTTTGTCATGCCGCCATTGCCAAGCACCTCACTAGGAGAGCTATGCTAGCAAATACAAAAAGGCTTAGAGTAGGCGTCTCATAAACACTACTTCCACGTTTTATTTAGGGAAAAGGCCTCAAAAAACCATAAATTATAAGGAAAAAAACACCAAAACCCCAAACTTTACCATCTCATGACACATTTACTTCGACTTTTTTATGCACATTTATCCCGTATGTATTTAGTCCATGGGCATTTTGTCTTTTTGCTTTTTCTTTTTTTTTCTTTTTTGCCTTTCGCGAGGAGCGGCTGCTCGCCGCGTCGGCGAGGTTCGCCTCCTCCGGGCGAGCGAGGGCGGCCCTCGCCCGACTCAGCGAGGCGAACCTCGCCGGATGCCGGCGAGGCCGCCCTCGCCGATCCGGCGAGGGCCGCCTCGCTCGACGCCGGCGAGGTCCCTCGCGGATCGGCGATGGCGCCTCACAGGAAAGGCAAAAAAGAAAAAAAAGAAAAGCAAAAAGACGAAAAATGCCCATGGACTAAATACATTGGGGTAAATGTGTCACAAAAAAAATCGGGGTTTTTGTGTCACAAAAAAGTTCGGGGTAAATGTGTCATGAGATGGCAAAGTTTGGGTTTTTGGTGGTTTTTCCCTAAATTATATTCATTACAACACGTTTACTCAAAAAAAATTCCAGTAACACAAAAAATTTCAAACTCGTACTTATGTGACATATTTAACTCCGTCAAATATTTATCTACATGGACGACCAAAGACAAACAGTGTTGGCATGACGTCCACGTAGAGGTGATCGGCTCCTAGTCTGATCTAGTCTCACTCTAGAATTGAAAATCGGATTGGTTCTCAATTTCTGAAATCGGGAACCGGATCACCTAATCTTAGGACCGGACCCATCCAGTTCGGTTCACAGGCAATCTAATCGATGGATTCACAATGATGATTGCTTTTCAAGCGTGTTAAACAAGATTTGAACTAACTAGAAAACCTAACACTATACTAAGGCTCTATTTGGTAACCGGTCATATAATGCCTATTCTATTATAAACAAAAAAGGAACATAAATCCATATGGTAAATTTTTTGTTCCCGGAAATAGATTTGGAACAGAATCAAGAAGTAGAAAAAAGTTGATTCTTGTTCCTGGGAACAAAAAAAAGAATCAAAATAAAAATAATTTTTTTTTCTTCTTCTCCTTCCTTGGCCTGCGGCTGGTCTCCGGCATAGGCCAAGGAAGGAGAAGAAGAAAAAAGAAAAATATTAAAATATTTGGGCAGTTACCAAACGCATTTATATTTTTTTTTTCTATTCCAAGAATAGAAATTTTGTACAGTTACCGAACACCTTTAAATGCTCAAAAATTAAATGCTCAAAAATTGTTCCTAGGAACAGAATAAAAAAGATCATTTATGAGCAGAAATTATTTTCAGAAACAGAATGGTTACCTAACGCACCTTAAAACCAATCAAATGAAGGAAAAAAAGGCCATGAGAAAGGGCAAGATCAAAATCATTAGTTGAACACTCATGCATGAACAAGGACAGTTGGAGCAACTTCAGCGTCAGAGAAACAAACACACAGAACATTGAGACGCCACCAATACTACATTCCAGCAATTCCAAGCTCCACATAATCCACCTTTGCTACCAGCAATTGCTTCGGCGCAATCATCTTGGCCCAAGCGCTCTAGCATCAAGGCCGAACGAACTCAATTAGATATTACCTTGTTAAACCAAGATTCATGGAGAATTTCAACGTTGCGCTTGTGCACGATAGTGGGGCAATGCCCTCGGTCATGGTGAAGCATCGAACGGGGTTCACGAGCCGACGTCGGAGCAGTCGCAGCCGCTCAATTAGAGACGAGGACGCCCTAATTTGGCTTGATAGGTTTGACATCGAGCATGGTTGGGAGAGAGAGAGAGAGAGAGAGAGAGAGAGAGAGAGAGAGAGAGAGAGAGAGAGAGAGAGAGAGAGAGAGAGAGGGGTAGGTGAGTTCAGCTCGGGAGGAGTGTTGCGCAAGAGGGAAGTGACCAAAGCTAGAAGATCTCTGTGATTGGTGGTCGCCATGGAGGAGGTTGATGACGACTTAGGCAATAAAAGGAAAAAATGAGGCGTGAGAGGCGAGAGGAAAGAGGAGTGACTAACTACGAGAGTTGAAGCAAGAGAGAAAGAGGCGTGAGAGCTTAGAGGCGATTATGGTTTAGTGCTAATGTTGTTAGTGTTCTTTAATAAATAAAAAAAATAAAATAATAAATATTTCTGATCTGAGTGATCCGATTTCCACCCTGAAATCGAGAACTGGACCAAAAATCATTAGTTTCCATTTCATGGAAATGGGAATTGGATAGGTGCCTTCAGAACCGGTCGATTCGATTTGAGCAATTTCCAGTTCAGATAGTTCTCTATACTCACTAAAACATGTCGTTTTTGCTTAAAAATCATTTAATAGAACCATGATGGAGGGTTAATGTGTCACGTGGATACAAGTTTAAAGTTTTTCATGCCACAAGAAAAATGTAGGGTAAATTTGGACAATTGACATAATTTGAGGTTTTTGATGTCATAAAAAAGTTTAGGTAAATATGTCGAAGTTGACATAATTTAAAGTTTATGGTGGCTTTTGCTCTTTAATTTTATTATTATCTAACGGTCATAATTATTTCTAGGGAAAAGCCACAAAAAACCCCCAAACTATGCCCAATGTGAAACATTTACCCTTTTTTGTGATATCAAAATCCCAAACTATACCCACTGTGGCATATTTACCGTAAACTTTTTTCTTGTGAAATAAAATACCCAAAACTTATATTTATGTAACATATTTACCCTCCATCAATGCTATGTTAGATGATTTTTCAGTCAAAATAATATCGTTGTTATTTCACTTAAGCCACGTGGACATCATGTTAACACCGTTTGCTTTATAGCGTCCATGTAGGCAGATATTTAATGGTTTTCATTGACAGAACTTTAATAGAGGGTAAATGTGTTACATACGTATAAGTTTAGATTTTTTTGGTATCATAAAAATTTTTAGGATAAATGTGTCGCAATAAGCATAATTTAGGATTTTTTGGTGGCTTTTGCCCTTATTTATATGATTTCTCCTCTTGCCTCACCAAGGAATAATTAATTATCTGTTCGATGTTCTATTCAATTTATTCTTGTCCTCTCTCGTCGCACTTGAAGTTAACCACCTCCCGTTCGAACTCTCCCACCGTAGTAATCGTTGAGATATTAGAAGCTTATCAGCTCGTGCAAAAAACTCGTTCATTCCAACTGTACTTTCGATTTAACTTGCTGGAACAATAGAGCTTTAGTATTAACTGATTTGGTTGCAAAAATAATAAATGATTGCTTCGTGATAACTATTACCTTCTAATGTAACATAGATGTAATAGATATTGCATTGTTTGTTTAAAGTAATGTACTATCTATTAGAATGTTCGGTTTCATGAATAGCATTTGTAATGAGGGGGGAACATCATCAAAATTCCCAAAATGCTTCTAAAATCAAAATTATAAGAAGTACAATAATTATCAGTTTTATAGTCAATCATGAGTTTAATACCACAAATATATTAGCAATGTCATGGCTTATTACATCACATCTCTATTTATTCTTGATTATGTGCTTATGATAATAATTGAAAGTGAAGTGATATAACTTGTGATTATATTGAAATAGATGTTATATTATGGTAATTAATAGTTTAAAAGCAATACTCCCTACCTATTATCTAGACATTTCAATTTAATATGTAATTTTTTATAAATTAATTAAAGCTATTTTTTATTGATCGTTCAAATTTAATCACATAAAATGCAATCGTATCATAACAAAGATCATATTCCTACATTATTAATAGTATGACTGAAATAATAATTAGGAAAAATTCCAATTAAGGACCCCAAGTGGAGTCTTTTTCTCAAAAAAGGACCCCAAGTAAACATAGTGTCAAATAAGGGCCTGAAGTGCCCAATCAGTCTCAAATAGGAGCTCGAAGTGCCCAATTAGTCTCAAGTAAGGACCTGGGTTCGCCGGCCGGTCAAATGCTCGCCGGCCGGCGAGCACGGTTACTATTCCGGCGACCGGAAAGGGGCAGTTTCATCTTTTTCTTTTTTTTTTGCCTTTTCCTTTTCTTTTTTTTTTCTTCTCTTCCCTCTGCCGGCCATAGCTGGGGCCGGCGGAGGCCGCCCTCACCTGGGTTGGGCGGGCAAGGGTCGCCCTCGCCCGACGCCGACGAGTGTCGCCTTCGCCCGCCCAGCCCAGTTGAGGGCCACCCTCGCCGGCGTCGGGCGAGAGAGACCCTCGCTAGATCCGGCGAGGGCGAGGGCGAGGGTTGCCCTCGCCGGATCTCGCGCCCTCGCCTGCCCAGCCCAGTTGAGGCCTGCCCGACGCCGGCAAGGGCGGCCCTCGACCTCGCTCGCCCAAGTGAGGGCAACCCTCGCCCGACGCCGGTGAGGGCAACCCTCGCCCGACGCCGGCGAGGGCGGCCTCCGCCGGCCCCGGCTATGGCCGGCGGAGGGAAGAGAAGAAAAAAAAACATAAAAGGAAAAGGAAAAAAAAAACAAAAAAAGGAAAAAAGAAAAGAAAAAGACGAAACTGCCCTTTTCCGGTCGCCGGAACAGTAACCGTACTCGCCAGCCGGCGAGTATTTGACCGGCCGGCGAACCCAGGCCCTTACTTGAGACTAATTGGGCACTTCGGGCCCCTATTTAAGACTGATTGGGCACTTCAGGCCCTTATTTGACACTATGTCCACTTGGGATCCTTTTTTGAGAAAAAGACCCCACTTGGGGTCCTTAATTGAAATTTTCCCTAATAATTATACAAAACTCGAAGCCCTGCAATTTCTTCCCTCTCTTCCTCCATAAAAAAGGAGAGCGATATCTCGTCCCTTCTTTGTTCACATCCATATACATAGATAGACAGAAAGGTGTAC